AATATATTTTTTTAAAAAAGAGCCTTTAAAAAAAAAAGATCAAAGCCAGCATTTCTTTCTGTGACTTGAAGGAGGGAATCTACTGTGGTCCTGGCAGGGTGGAACTTCCCCTTTTTTAATAACAGGGCTGGGGGAGCCCCTCCAGCTGTTTCCCTGCGGCTGGCCATTTCTTATGTCTTGATTTAATGGCTGGCCATTTCTATGAAATTTAGATCGACATTGATTGGCCCAATGACTCCCCTTCTTACATCTGGGACATAGACCTGCATCACCTGAGTTGGGAGGCGGAATGATTACGCCTTCTCCCGGAGTGTCACCTTTTGGCTCTTACGTTCCTTTTTTCAATGTGCTTGTTGTCCACAATTGAAACATAATTTGTTTCTTGTTGTGATTGCGGCAGCTCGTAAGCTTGCCTGAAAAATGCCCGACCCCACATTCTGACGTGCTCGAATCGTTTCCGTAATGGTACTGTTTCTTCTTAGAGGCATTAGACATTTCTTACAATCAGCATTGGCATTTTCATAAGCTAATTGCTGAGTCAAAACATCTCCTGCTGTCTCATGTTGAATCTGCCTTCTCACTGCTCCAGTGACGCGAGCTACAAAATCAGAGAATGACTCGGTGGGCCCCTGCATGCACTTACTACAGGCTCCTTCAGGTTCCCCTTTTGCTGGTAAAGTCCACCAGGCTTTTCGTCCACAAGGTCTAATTGGCTCATACGCCTGCTGGACGTCACTAAATTGTCGCTGTCCTGCAAGCATCTCAAAAGTTATGGGAACATTCTACCCGAGATTTGAAGAAGCTTGCTCTTGACATTTCTCTAAAAATTCTCCTTTCTAGAGCAAATAATCTCCTCCATCCAGACTAGCACAGGCTAGAGAATACCAGTCATAAGGAGCTAGGAATGCTTCAGAAATGTTAGTTATAATTTCTCCAGTAAATGGAGCATTTGCACCATTCTGTATTACACTAACACTCAAGGCCTTTATCATTTTAAAGTCAAATCTTTCATGCTGTCTTATTATTTGATTTGGGAATTGTGGATTAGCTACCTGTATAATAGGAAAAGCAAGTCTATCTTCTACTGTCATGTCCTTTAATCCTTGTCTCATGGCTTTTTGCATAGGTGATTCTATTAGTGGCGATTAAATGTTTCAGAATCAGGACAAGAAGGCCACTCTTTCAATTTATCTTTCTGCTTCTCTTTAGAAGCAGAGGGTGTAAGGGGAGGAGGTCTTTCTTCTTTAAAAAGCTCTAACAAATTCATCACCATTTCCCACAAAGAGAAACAATTTGGAGGCAAATATTTCCCCTGCTGCTGAGCTACCTTCAAGTTCTGACCTATCCATTCCCAACATTCAATATCCAATGTACCCTCATCAGAAAACCATGGATTATGTTCTACTAGAGGCCCAGTGCACAAAAATGTGTGCACTCGGGGGGTCCCTCAGCCCGGCCTGTGCCCTCTCGCAGTCTGGGACCCCTCAGAGGATGTCCACCTACTGACTTAGGCCCGCTCCCTGGGGAATCGGGCCCAAGCTGGCAGTCAGACATCCCTCTGGCAGCCCAGTAGCCCTCGGGGGATGTCCATTTGCCAGCGGGGAGCAGGCCTAAGCTGCAGTCGGACATCCTTAGCGTTGCTGAGGAGGCGGGAGAGGCTCCCACCGCCACTGCTGTACTGGCAGCCATCAGCCTGGCTTGTGGCTGAGCAGAGCTCCCCCTGTAGAAGCGCACTGACTACCAGGGGGCAGCTCCTGCATTGAGCGTCTGCCCCCTGGTGGTCAGTGTGTGTCACAGTGACCAGTCATTCCCAGTCATTGTGCTCTTAGGGTCAGTTTGCATATTATCCTTTAACTATATAGGATAGAGGCCTAGTGCGTGGGTGGGGGCCGGCTGGTTTGCCCTGAAGGGTGTCCTGGATCAGGGTGGGGGTCCCACTGGGGTTCCTGGCAAGCCTGGGTGAGGAGCTGATGGCTGAGGAGCTGATGGCTGTTTGCAGGCTGGTCAAGCCCCCCCCCCACACACACACACAGTGGGGACCCTCACCCCATGGAGGTTTGGCCAGCCTGGGTGAGGGGCTGATGGCTGTTTTCAGGCTGGCCACACCTCCTTTAGGGTGGAGGGTCCACTGGGATGCCTGGCCAGTCTGGGGGAGGGGCTGAGGGCCGTTTTCAGGCTGGCCAAGCCCCCCGGCGACGGAAGCTCCCAGCCTCTCTTTTTTTCTTTTTCTTTTTTTTTTTTATCCTAGGGTTTATTTACCTTCCATAATTGAAACTTTGTAGCCTTGAGAGGAGCTTAGAGCCAGCCAGGGCGGGCGGGAGGGAAGCCTCCTGCTCGCTCCAGCTCCGTGGCCATGGCCGGCTGAAAGCAGGTATCTGGGGTTTATTTACCTTCTCTAATTGAAACTTTGTTGCTTTGAGTGGAGCTCAGAGCCGCCACGGCAGGTGGGGAAGCTTGGCTTCCTCCATCATTGGGGCAACCAAGCCTCCTGCTTGCTCCAGCTCCGTGGCTGCCGGCTGCCATCTTGGTTGGGTTAATTTGCATATAGTCGCTCTGATTGGCTGGTGGGCGTGGCTTAAGGCGTAGCAAAGGTATGGTCAATTTGCATGTTTGACTTTTATTAGTGTAGCTAATAATCTGTAGAAACTGTAAAAGAAGATCTTCTGAAACTGCAACTCCCTTATCCTTTAATAAGCAAGTTAGAAGTCTATAGGAAAGTCTCTCCTCTCTCAACAAATTCTGCCCCATTTTGATCTGGTTGAAACAAAAGAAATCACTCAAGCACTTAAGGATCCATGGGCTTCCACAGCTGACACGAGTTTTGCAAGCAGTTAAACTTCCACCACCAGGTAAGGTGATATTTTCTGCTCTGGCAAATCCTTTTCCTCCAAGATCCTGTTCAGAGCACCAATGGTGAAAGGCCACGGCCAGCGTGGCTTTCAGGTTCAAAGGCTTGGAGAAAGAGCTGATGCACAAATTGACAAGCAAGACATAGGAATATTAATTTTTAGAATTACTGGGGGAAAACAGAGGAAAACTCAACTAGAGAAGTCAAGTTCCCGCTGAGTCTCCGTTCCCACCTGCTTTTATTTACTAGGATACACACCTGCCTTTAGGAATGCGGACAGACATATCAATGGTCATGTTTAGTAAACAGTAAGATTGTCAGGTTTTGGGGGAGTGTGCTTTAGGCCATTGAGTCAGCAGCAGGTAATAAAATGTAGATATTCACCCTGTGAATATCAGAAGGAGTCCCGGCTAGCCTTCTGCCAGACTCCTCACATTTATATTAATTACTGTTGATCTTGGTTTCCAGCAGAGAACCCTTTCTTAAACTTTTTAATCAGACATTCCAGAACGGTATGTTTTGAGGAGCTCCCCCCATGATGGTGTCCAAAATGATGAACTAAAACCCTCCCAGTGGACAGTGGCACGAGACAAACAAAGGAGAGTTCTTCCTGTCGTCCACCTGGCCACTTCCCTCTCGGGGAGTTAGGTGCCTCTTAGCACTGGTAGGTCAGTAGACGCCCCTGCCCCGGATCAGGTCCACCGGGAGGGACAGTGTCCCACAGAACCTGACACCACCCGAAGCCATATGAGGTCACCACAGAACCGCAATGTGGGACTCACTCAGGCGCCGTAGCTGACACCGTGGGGCACAGTCATCACACACACGTGCACACAGCTTCACACAGAGTTCAAGACTCCCGCCCCAGGAGTCTCCTATCCTATGCGGTGACCACGCCGCTCAGCAGGTGATCAAGCTCACCTTCCGCCTTAAAGGCGGGCCTGAACTCGGTCCAGGGCCCCCGGGGACACTTGCTGGTCTGATGGCCTGGTCCTGGCAGACTTTATTGTCTTCCCTGGAGTCCCTTCAGCACAGCAGTGGCTGAATACTGCTGGCCCGGCGACGGTCAGGGTCCAGTGAAATCACCGGCGGTGTGCCTTCCTGTCCATTGCGGGGACCCAAAATTAGCAGCCTCCTCTGCTGGCTTCCAACAATGGTGGCTGAAAGGGCCAGAGTGGCTCTTGGCTTCTCGGTCAGGAAAACAAATGTTATGGCAGAAATCAGGCTGGGCAGAAGCGACAATCCAAATGTACTCGGAGGTTCAGAAAAAGACTTTTATTTGCACTGCTGTGGGCTCAGCGGAGTTCTCTCCAGAGGCTGGGCCCTGCGTCGGGGTTCTGACCTTTTTGGATACATGATAAGCTTCCGGTACTCAGGGGTCTTTCCACACATGAGGCAGCGTGGGTGGTTGGCTGATGTGAGAAGCAAGTGAGATTACAGGAACCAAGAGGACGGTTCTGGAGGAGTAAGGAAGGGGAGGGTTATCTGCTCTTGGCTTGCCTTCGCACTCTGGGGCCAGCGTCGGGAGGGCCACTTCTTCCTCCTGCTGGTTGAGTGCTGCCACACAGGAAAGGGTGCTCTCCAGGGGCTCAGGTGTCACTAGCAGACAAGGAACCCTCACTCGCAGCCCACGCCCGCAGCCACCCTGTGTGAAACGGGCAGGGTTGGGGGCCAGGAGCACGCCCATTGCCCTGAGCCCAACCTGTTTAGAGAAGGAGACCTGACCTAGGGACTGGGGGACACTCGGTGCTGAAGGGCACGATTGTGGGGAACTGACAGGAATTGGTCCTAAAGGAACCTGTGGCCACTGTCACTAATCCTGGGACAGGCGTCCACAGCACAAGCCCAGCTGCTGACCAGGTCTCCTCTCCAGGCCTGAGTCTCAGGCTCGTTCAGGGCTCTTACAGACCTATAAGAACTGCACAGGACGCCAACATACAGTGCTCAGGCTTTATTCTAGACGCTGGCCAGAGAGCTGTCAGAGGGAGTGGTGTGAAAGTGCCCACACTGGGCTCACCCTGGATGTGGGGCAGGACTCCTGCAGCTTCTAAGAAGTGTGGACTTGAGCTCTGCCAGCTGGTTATGGTGACTTTTTTCAGGTGTTTCTTCATGTTGCCTGAGTTGTCCAGGGGTCGGAAGGCTGACTTGCTGTTTACTTTCCACGAACTTTCACTTCAGTGACTGTAGTGGTCTGGATAGTTCTCACATTCATGGCTACGCCGAAGAGGAGTGCCGCTATGAGGGCAAGCGAGCGACCAAAAACGACTCTCAAATACACCAGTGACATACCACCTGCCCTCACTGACCGCCTTCTTCTTGGAGCGGGTCCGCTGTCCACACTCCCTCCCGCACCACTGTTAATGCACAGGGGAGGGTCCCAGCCTACATGGCAATGGCAGTTCCTGTTATTGTTGCACACGCCCCTGTAGTTGCATTTCGAAGGGGGACAGTTGTAGTCTATGGCCGCCAAGGTAGCATTGCAGAAGCCTTTCAGACAAAACTTTCCACCGCCGCAGGGAGTACCAGATCTCACAGCACCAACATCAGTGCTTTCTGTGCCACGGTGTGCACCCACCCCAAAACACAAGGACTCCCCGATGATTGAGTGATGGAAGCCCACGTGTTCCTGCAACCGAGGCAGATGAGTGACGTTGACACACTGTAGGCGTCCACACATAACGTCAGCGTCCGCACAACGTTGTGGCGCGAATCCAATCGTAACTTTACAGTGTCCAAATCGGTGGCCCTTTTTATTGATGCTGTAGCAGACGTCTGGCGCGCTCAGCGCCCCCTCCCCAAAGATCTCCTTGCAGTGCATACTGCGGTCGGTACAATTGCCCTCATAGCAGTAGCCGTCCTCAGTGCACGGGGTTCCATCTTGCAGATAAAAGTCACTGGGGCAATTCGTGTCCTTCCCCATGCAGTACTCCGGAAGGTCACAGATGTTCTGGATCGGCCTGCAGAGCGTCCCTGCAGGTGCTTGGGTGCAGTTTGTGCAGCACGTTTCTCTGTTACAAATGCTCCCGGGTGAAAAGCGGCAGTCACTTTCGCAGCACGTGTTGCTGTAACACTGCTTGAAGGTCCCACAGTCACACTGCTCTCCGTTTTCCACCACAGAGTTTCCACATCGAATGGTTGTCAGGCTACTGTTTGAATACACCAGCTGCCCTCTTTCTTGGAAGAGGCAGAGTTGTATATTATTATTAAGTACGTGTGCTGTGTGTTGAAAAGAACAGTTACTGAATGAATCTGTCAACACAGGGTATCTGTACATGATGCAGGTGGCCCTTCTCTGGCAAACACACTCCACCGTATCTAACCACAGACCAAAAGTGGTCCCTATTTGGTTGGAGGCTATAATTGATACAGTAAATAATGTCTGGATAGTTGACCCCAGAAAAGATCGATTTCCACGTCCGCCACAGCCGGGAGTAACCAGGGCTTAAAATTAACTTCA